ATAACAAATGTCTTTAATGAAAGTTCGCTAGTACCACATCTTATTATTCGTTTGTTAGTACCACATCTTATTATTCACATAACAAATGTCTTTGATGAAAGTTGGCTAGTACTACATCTTATTATTCACATTACATATGTCTTTGATGAAAGTTTGCTAGTACCACATCTTATTATTCACATTACAAATGTCTTTGATGAAAGTTGGCTAGTACCACATCTTATTATTCACATAACATATGTCTTTGATGAAAGTTGGCTAGTACCACATCTTATTATTCACATAACAAATGTCTTTAATGAAAGTTTGCTAGTACCACATCTTATCATTCGTTTGCTAGTACCACATCTTATTATTCACATTACAAATGTCTTTAATGAAAGTTTGCTAGTACCACATCTTATTATTCACATAACAAATGTCTTTAATGAAAGTTTGCTAGTACCACATCTTATCATTCACATTACAAATGTTTTTAATGAAAGTTCGCTAGTACCACATCTTATTATTCACATTACAAATGTCTTTGATGAAAGTTTGCTTGTTCCACATCTTATTATTCGTTTGCTAGTACCACATCTTATCATTCACATAACAAATGTCTTTGATGAAAGTTTGTTAGTACCACATTTTATTATTCACATTACATATGTCTTTGATGAAAGTTTGCTAGTTCCACATCTTATTATTCACATTACATATGTCTTTGATGAAAGTTTGCTAGTTCCACATCTTATTATTCGTTTGTTAGTACCACATCTTATTATTCACATAACAAATGTCTTTGATGAAAGTTTGCTAGTACCACATCTTATTATTCACATAACAAATGTCTTTGATGAAAGTTGGCTAGTACCACATCTTATTATTCACATTACAAATGTCTTTGATGAAAGTTTGCTTGTTCCACATCTTATTATTCGTTTGCTAGTACCACATCTTATTATTCACATAACAAATGTCTTTGATGAAAGTTTGTTAGTACCACATTTTATTATTCACATTACATATGTCTTTGATGAAAGTTTGCTAGTTCCACATCTTATTATTCACATTACATATGTCTTTGATGAAAGTTTGCTAGTTCCACATCTTATTATTCGTTTGTTAGTACCACATCTTATTATTCACATAACAAATGTCTTTGATGAAAGTTTGCTAGTACCACATCTTATTATTCACATAACAAATGTCTTTGATGAAAGTTGGCTAGTACCACATCTTATTATTCACATTACAAATGTCTTTAATGAAAGTTCGCTAGTACCACATCTTATTATTCACATTACAAATGTCTTTGATGAAAGTTGGCTAGTTCCACATCTTATTATTCACATTACATATGTCTTTGATGAAAGTTTGCTAGTTCCACATCTTATTATTCACATTACATATGTCTTTGATGAAAGTTTGCTAGTTCCACATCTTATTATTCGTTTGTTAGTACCACATCTTATTATTCACATTACATATGTCTTTGATGAAAGTTTGCTAGTTCCACATCTTATTATTCACATTACATATGTCTTTGATGAAAGTTTGCTAGTTCCACATCTTATTATTCACATTACATATGTCTTTGATGAAAGTTTGCTAGTTCCACATCTTATTATTCGTTTGTTAGTACCACATCTTATTATTCACATTACATATGTCTTTGATGAAAGTTTGCTAGTTCCACTTCTTATTATTCACATTACATATGTCTTTGATCAAAGTTCGCTAGTACCACATCTTATTATTCACATTACATATGTCTTTGATGAAAGTTTGCTAGTTCCACATCTTATTATTCGTTTGTTAGTACCACATCTTATTATTCACATTACATATGTCTTTGATGAAAGTTTGCTAGTACCACATTTTATTATTCACATTACAAATGTCTTTGATGAAAGTTGGCTAGTACCACATTTTATTATTCACATTACATATGTCTTTGATGAAAGTTGGCTAGTTCCACATCTTATTATTCACATTACAAATGTCTTTGATGAAAGTTTGCTTGTTCCACATCTTATTATTCGTTTGCTAGTACCACATCTTATTATTCACATAACAAATGTCTTTGATGAAAGTTTGCTAGTACCACATCTTATTATTCACATAACAAATGTCTTTGATGAAAGTTTGCTAGTACCACATCTTATTATTCACATAACAAATGTCTTTGATGAAAGTTTGCTAGTACCACATCTTATTATTCACATAACAAATGTCTTTAATGAAAGTTCGCTAGTACCACATCTTATTATTCACATTACAAATGTCTTTAATGAAAGTTTGCTAGTACCACATCTTATTATTCACATAACAAATGTCTTTGATGAAAGTTTGCTAGTACCACATCTTATCATTCACATTACAAATGTTTTTAATGAAAGTTCGCTAGTACCACATCTTATTATTCACATTACAAATGTCTTTGATGAAAGTTTGCTTGTTCCACATCTTATTATTCGTTTGCTAGTACCACATCTTATTATTCACATAACAAATGTCTTTGATGAAAGTTTGTTAGTACCACATTTTATTATTCACATTACATATGTCTTTGATGAAAGTTTGCTAGTTCCACATCTTATTATTCGTTTGTTAGTACCACATCTTATTATTCACATAACAAATGTCTTTGATGAAAGTTTGCTAGTTCCACATCTTATTATTCACATTACATATGTCTTTGATGAAAGTTGGCTAGTACCACATCTTATTATTCACATTACAAATGTCTTTGATGAAAGTTTGCTAGTTCCACATCTTATTATTCGTTTGTTAGTACCACATCTTATTATTCACATAACAAATGTCTTTGATGAAAGTTGGCTAGTACCACATCTTATTATTCACATTACAAATGTCTTTGATGAAAGTTTGCTAGTTCCACATCTTATTATTCGTTTGTTAGTACCACATCTTATTATTCACATAACAAATGTCTTTGATGAAAGTTGGCTGGTACTACATCTTATTATTCACATTACATATGTCTTTGATGAAAGTTTGCTAGTACCACATCTTATTATTCACATTACAAATGTCTTTGATGAAAGTTGGCTAGTACCACATCTTATTATTCACATAACATATGTCTTTGATGAAAGTTTGCTAGTACCACATCTTATCATTCACATTACAAATGTCTTTGATGAAAGTTTGCTAGTACCACATCTTATTATTCACATTACAAATGTCTTTGATGAAAGTTGGCTAGTACCACATCTTATTATTCACATTACAAATGTCTTTGATGAAAGTTGGCTAGTACTACATCTTATTATTCACATTACATATGTCTTTGATGAAAGTTTGTTAGTACCACATTTTATTATTCACATTACATATGTCTTTGATGAAAGTTTGCTAGTTCCACATCTTATTATTCACATTACATATGTCTTTGATGAAAGTTTGCTTGTTCCACATCTTATTATTCGTTTGCTAGTACCACATCTTTCTATTCACATTACAAATGTCTTTGATGAAAGTTGGCTAGTACCACATTTTATTATTCACATAACAAATGTCTTTGATGAAAGTTGGCTAGTACCACATCTTATTATTCACATTACATATGTCTTTGATGAAAGTTGGCTAGTACCACATCTTATTATTCACATAACAAATGTCTTTGATGAAAGTTGGCTAGTACTACATCTTATTATTCGTTTGTTAGTACCACATCTTATTATTCACATTACAAATGTCTTTGATGAAAGTTGGCTAGTACCACATCTTATTATTCACATAACAAATGTCTTTGATGAAAGTTTGCTAGTACCACATCTTTATATTCACATTACATAAGTCTTTGATGAAAGTTTGCTAGTTCCATATCTTATTATTCGTTTGTTAGTACCACATTTTATTATTCACATAACAAATGTCTTTGATGAAAGTTTGCTAGTACTACATCTTATTATTCACATTACATATGTCTTTGATGAAAGTTTGTTAGTACCACATCTTTATATTCACATTACATATGTCTTTGATGAAAGTTTGTTAGTACCATATCTTATAATTCACATTACAAATGTCTTTGATGAAAGTTTGCTAGTTCCACATCTTATTATTCGTTCGCTAGTACCACATCTTATTAATCACATAACAAATGTCTTTGATGAAAGTTTGCTAGTACTACATCATCTTATTATTCACATTACAAATGTCTTTGATGAAAGTTTGCTAGTACCACATCTTATTATTCACATTACAAATGTCTTTGATGAAAGTTGGCTAGTACCACATCTTATTATTCACATTACATATGTCTTCGATGAAAGTTTGCTAGTTCCATATCTTAAATTATTCACATTACATATGTCCTGTTTCCCCGGAATATTTGTTAGTATTCTATTTTGTTTATTTGTGAGTATTGAATTTTGTATGTCTTGGTGACAATCCTGTTTTTGGATATTAAACAAATAACTGATTTGATATGATTCATTGTAATATTTGAAAAAAAGCTATGTCGTAAATTAAACAACATTCGATAAATCGATTTCACAAATGTAACGAAGCTCTTAGAGCAATAATTTAATGAAGTTGTTGATTGGAGGATCAGTAAACAATGATAAAAAATTCTGTTAAAATGACAAATCAAAGAAATCAAAGAACCTTCATATGAGATAGCTGAAAGGAAAAGACACACAGATGTCATAATTTAGCGCACTTTTCCGACGTATCTTAAAGGAATTAATTGTATATTTTGTTGTATGTCGGATAATCTTTTTCAATATGAAATATCAATGTTTCTAATAAAATACCAGTATATGTTATACATTTTATATTAACTTTCAACATTATGATAACAATTTATCTTGTATTAATTTTTGTAAAACGAGATTTGAAACTCCCATGGTGATTTAGTTTTATCATTTTAATGAGACATCAATAATCAACATGTAAATTATTTAATAAAGTGCAATCAAGCTGAACTTGTTCATTGTTTATCAAAATGCAATTAGGCCTTAGTTTAGTTTCGTATGCAGGCATCAAGTTGAAAAGTACAAACCGAAGTACTTTTCTATGCATTCACTGAATGCGAATGTCTGAAACATGACAGGTCAGAAGGATGTGAATTCGAAGAAGGCAATATACTTACATTACAAAGAATGAAGAAGAATATGTAAATGAAGTATATGACCGTCAATTGATTATGCCTGACACTGTATGTTATTTTAAAAGAAACAAGACCACTTATAAGTTAACAAAATAATATTACTAATTTAGTAATTTTGTAAAACGTTTTGGAACACAAATATAACTGATTCATCTTCAGACGACAATTTCAAAATTTTACTCAGACATTTAAATAATCAGTTCTGTCTGAAAATACAACTTTGAAAAATGGACAGACGTCGGATAGTTTTAGGGCTTATATTTATCTGGATACACCGCAATGACTGTGAACTGTTGAATGATGTATGTTTCAAGGACGACGTAGAATGTAAAAGACCAAACATTAAAACAATCGGAAAGCTGCAACATGGAAAATGCCGGAAGGAGAACATTTTACGTCAATTGAGCGGGAAAAGTCTGCTTGAGTGCGTCAAAGAATGTTTGGTGACGTCACAATGTTTTGGTATAAATTATAGGAAGGCTTGGCCACTTTGTGACGTAGTTGGACGGTCAAATGAATCTCTCAGTGAAGAAACAGGGTGTATGTATAGCGACATTATCACGTGGTCTAAGGTAAGTTACTGCATTACACCTATATTATATTGATCTATATTGACTGTGTGTATTTTACTTTTTGAAATAGGCTACCTGTGGCTGTGAGTGTTTTTTGTTAAGTATAATAAAAAAAGAATGCGTTTCGGTCGCAACCAAAAAAAAAAAAGAAAAGAAAAGAAAAACTTACGTTATGGTTTTTTCCTAAAAATATATTCTGATCCCTAATTTGATGAAAACAAAATATTGTGTTCAAGCAGATTCTGACTCCAGATTTTCTCCATACCTTATAGTGTTCAATTTTGAAAAATATAATTTGATTGATAGCGTCGAAAAACTAAATTCTGACTCAAACAAAAAAACCATACCCCCCCCCCCCCCCCCTCTCTGAAGTTAATTGCTTGCTCAGTTACAGAATTTCACAAAACAATGTATTTTTCTTTTTTTTTAATACTAGTTAATGGCGTTTCAAACAATGCTCGCTGTTTAAGCAAGACACATCGTGTCGTCTGCTGATATGAAATAATTTCGACCTATCCTCTAATGCCGATGGTTTTACATACATCAACGTCATTACAGTACAAGACAAACAAACGGATCTTGTTCAATGTCCAGAACAAACCTGTCATAGAATTTTAACTTATTTCCTCAAAGTTCCAACATTTGAGCCTTGCTTAGTGAAGATTCCATACAGGAACGGGAGTTGAGTGGACTAAAATCGGCATCATAACTGTGTGTTATTAATTTACAGGACCTTGCAGGAAATTGTAAAGACGTAAAATGTGACGCTGGAAAACAGTGTAAACTGGACGATGCTGGACAACCAATATGTATACAGTCATGTAAGTCCTTTGACATGTACTTGTTAACTCGATGCTAGATGACCTTTGATGTATTCCGCTTCTCTGTCTTTTACTTTCCAGTTTGCCGTTTCAGAATCTAATGCATTCTGGGTAATATTTACAATTCTTTAGATTCTAAAAGGTTGAATCGTCTTATTCGAGATTTAAGTAGATCGGGTGTCTTCCTCAATCTTGTATTGTAAAATATCAAGACACAATCGGCACAGATCATTTATTAAATATGTAAATTTTTAGACAGGAATGCAATTAAATTTAAATCTTTTTTTTTTATCTAAATGAAGGAAAATATATATGTGATTTATCGTATTATGACAACTGTTGTACATATACTTAGTTATATTTATACTAAAACTACAAAAAATAAAAATAAATCCAATACTTCCCGACAGTAAAATGGAAAAGCTAAAACCTGCCTCTAATATTTCACAACCTTGATAATAGGAACTATGCCACTACAATTTTTCTGTTTTGTTGTTTTAAATGAGTTTATATTATTTTTTCTTGATTCTAATAAACTCCACAGACTGTGCTGAGGAACCTATGACTTCTAACGCGACCAGTACTGATAAGTTTGGTATGCACCGTGATATTGGGAAAGGAAACAAATACAAATGTGACGATGGTTACACCATGAGAGGACGTCCTTTCTTAGTTTGTAGGATGAATGGTACTTGGACATCTCTGTTTTGCTGTATTCGTAAGTTTGTGTTTTATACATGTTCTATTAAGATTGAGACAACCTTTATCATGAAAACGACTTACATATTGTAATAGTATGGTCACAGGAATACATTGTAATAGTATGATCACAACAAAACGTTGTAATGGTATTGTCACAGAAATACATTGTAATAGTATGGCCACAAAATACATTGTAATAGTAAGGCCACAGAAATACATTGTAATAGTAAGGTCACAGAAACACATTGTAATAGTAAGGTCACAGAAATACATTGTAATAGTATGGTCACAGAAATATATTGTAATAGTATGGTCACAGAAGTACATTGTAATAGTAAGGTCACAGAAATACATTGTAATAGTAAGGTCACAGAAACACATTGTAATAGTATGATCACAACAAAACGTTGTAATGGTATTGTCACAGAAATACATTGTAATAGTATGGCCACAAAATACATTGTAATAGTAAGGCCACAGAAATACATTGTAATAATAAGGTCACAGAAACACACATTGTAATAGTAAGGCCACAGAAATACATTGTCATAGTATGGTCAAAGAAATACATTGTAATAGTAAGGCCACAGAAATACATTGTAATAGTAAGGCCACAGAAATACATTGTAATAGTAAGGCCACAGAAATACATTGTAATAGTAAGGTCAAAGACATACATTGTTATAGTAAGGCCACAGAAAAACATTGTAATAGTAAGGTCACAGAAATACATTGTAATAGTAAGGTCACAGAAATATATTGTAATAGTAAGGTCACAGAAATACATTGTAATAGTAAGGTCACAGAAGTACATTGCAATAGTAAGGCCACAGAAATACATTGTAATAGTAAGGCCACAGAAATACATTGTAATAGTAAGGCCACAGAAAAACATTGTAATAGTAAGGTCACAGAAATACATTGTAATAGTAAGGCCACAGAAATACATTGTAATAGTAAGGTCAAAGACATACATTGTTATAGTAAGGCCACATAAATACATTGTTATAGTAAGGCCACAGAAATACATTGTTATAGTATGGCCACAGAAATACATTGTAATAGTAAGGTCACAGAAATACATTGTAATAGTAAGGTCACAGAAACACATTGTAATAGTATGATCACAACAAAACGTTGTAATGGTATTGTCACAGAAATACATTGTAATAGTATGGCCACAAAATACATTGTAATAGTAAGGCCACAGAAATACATTGTAATAATAAGGTCACAGAAACACACATTGTAATAGTAAGGCCACAGAAATACATTGTCATAGTATGGTCAAAGAAATACATTGTAATAGTAAGGCCACAGAAATACATTGTAATAGTAAGGCCACAGAAATACATTGTAATAGTAAGGCCACAGAAATACATTGTAATAGTAAGGTCAAAGACATACATTGTTATAGTAAGGCCACAGAAAAACATTGTAATAGTAAGGTCACAGAAATACATTGTAATAGTAAGGTCACAGAAATATATTGTAATAGTAAGGTCACAGAAATACATTGTAATAGTAAGGTCACAGAAGTGCATTGCAATAGTAAGGCCACAGAAATACATTGTTATAGTATGGCCACAGAACTACATTGTAATAGTAAGGTCAAAGACATACATTGTAACAGTAAGGCCATATAAATACATTGTAATAGTAAGGTCACAGAAATACATTGTAATAGTAAGGTCACAGAAATACATTGTAATAGTAAGGTCACAGAAATACATTGTAATAGTAAGGCCACAGAAGTACATTGTAATAGTAAGGCCACAGAAATACATTGTAATAGTAAGGCCACAGAAAAACATTGTAATAGTAAGGTCACAGAAATACATTGTAATAGTAAGGCCACAGAAAAACATTGTAATAGTAAGGTCACAGAAATACATTGTAATAGTAAGGTCACAGAAATACATTGTAATAGTATGGTCACAGAAATACATTGTAATAGTAAGGTCACAGAAACACATTGTAATAGTAAGGTCACAGAAAGACATTGTAATAGTAAGGTCACAGAAATACATTGTCATAGTAAGGTCACAGAAATACATTGTCATAGTATGGTCAAAGAAATACATTGTGATAGTATGGTCAAAGAAATACATTGTAATAGTATGGTCAAAGAAATACATTGTCATAGTATGGTCAAAGAAATACATTGTCATAGTATGGTCAAAGAATTACATTCACTGTGGAACTAGTGGCACTAGTGACACAAACTCTTCTGTTGTAAAAGTAAGTAAGTGATTGTCAAAATAGTGATTTGTAGACAACTCACTGTCCATTTTTAACGTTAGTTTGTCTACATCAGATTTTCGACAGGCACACAAATCCTACCATAAACTGAGTATGAACTCAGGTGCTCAGGTTAAGTGGCTCTTGCTCATCTAGTGGCACCAGTTGATTTGCTCATGACATTTGCTTAGGGCATGGCCAACCATTTCTTATTTTCTTTTTTAAAACTACATATTCTATAACATCTTGTGAGTACATGTGAACACCAACCCAACAACATCAAAAATAAAATAAGTGCAAGACGTCTAATGATGTCAATATAAGTCTTCAACAACATATCGATAAGTGCAATAATAAAAGAAACATATCAAGTGGAATGGTGGTCATTGATATAAACAATACATTGTCAACAACAAGACTATAGAAACTTAAAACAGCATCGTTTCCAATGTCAACAACAAGACTATAGAAACTTAAAACAGCATCGTTTCCAATGTCAACAACAAGACTATAAACTTAAAACAGCATCGTTTCCAATGTCAACAACAAGACTATAAACTTAAAACAGCATCGTTTCCAATGTCAACAACAAGACTATAGAAACTTAAAACTGCATCGTTTCCAATGTCAACAAGACTACAAACACTTAAAACAGCATCGTTTCCAATGTCAACAACAAGACTATAAACTTAAAACAGCATCGTTTCCAATGTCAACAACAAGACTATAGAAACTTAAAACAGCATCGTTTCCAATGTCAACAACAAGACTATAAACTTAAAACAGCATCGTTTCCAATGTCAACAACAAGACTATAAACTTAAAACAGCATCGTTTCCAATGTCAACAACAAGACTATAAACTTAAAACAGCATCGTTTCCAATGTCAACAACAAGACTATAGAAACTTAAAACTGCATCGTTTCCAATGTCAACAACAAGACTACAGAAACTTAAAACAGCATCGTTTCCAATGTCAACAACAAGACTATAGAAAACTTAAAACAGCATCGTTTCCAATGTCAACAACAAGACTATAAACTTAAAACAGCATCGTTTCCAATGTCAACAACAAGACTATAAACTTAAAACAGCATCGTTTCCAATGTCAACAACAAGACTATAGAAACTTAAAACTGCATCGTTTCCAATGTCAACAAGACTATAGAAACTTAAAACAGCATCGTTTCCAATGTCAACAACAAGACTATAAACTTAAAACAGCATCGTTTCCAATGTCAACAACAAGACTACAGAAACTTAAAACAGCAATCGTTTCCAATGTCAACAACAAGACTATAAACTTAAAACTGCATCGTTTCCAATGTCAACAACAAGACTACAGAAACTTAAAACAGCATCGTTTCCAATGTCAACAACAAGACTATAGAAACTTAAAACAGCATCGTTTCCAATGTCAACAACAAGACTATAGAAACTTAAAACAGCATCGTTTCCAATGTCAACAACAAGACTACAAACACTTAAAATAGCATCGTTTCCAATGCCAAAACAGGAAATAATTCAACGAAAACGAAATGGAAAAAACAACTTCAAAAGCTTTTAGTCTTCATTATCAGTCAAGCAGTTTAACTTAATTCAAAAGTGAACGAAATCAAAATGGAAAAATAACGTCAAAAGCTTTTCGTCTTCATTATCAGTAAAGCAGTCTAACTTGCACAACGATGAACTCACACGGTAAAGAGTCACTGAGTGACGTCACTTACGACTTGGACCAATTGAAGATCCTGTATGAGACATATATAAAGTGACTTGTTTTCTTTCCTTCAGCAAAGAAAGGCATCGTAGATTGTGGAGACCTACCTAGAGATAGCCCCTCTGGAGTGTACACAACAGTCTACAAGTTTGATGTTTACTGTGAAATAGACATCGCTGGGAGCGGATGGACAGTAATTATTGTTTAATTCATTTATCCATTTATCAAAACTTTATTTATAATAACTTTATTTGACAAATATAGTTTAATTCTGTAAAGAAAGCTTCATTTGGTCTCTGGTGGAGGGTTTTTTCATTGGCAATCATACTACATCTTCTTATTTTTATTATTAAGCCATACGAATATAATAAAAAGGAGATGAGTATGATTGCCAATGAGACAACTATCCACCAAAGTTCAAATGAAGTGGATGTAAGTAATTATAGGCAACCGTACGGCCTTCAACAATGAGAAAAACCGATACCACATATAGTTGGCTATAAAAGGCCCCGACATGAAAAATATGAAACAATACAATTGAGAAAACTAACTGACTTTGTTTTGTGACTACAATGACGGTCAACTTGAAAACAAGACATTGGGACAATAATTCTTTTAAAAAATTATAAAAAAGCACGAGGTTAAACAGTTCACACGATCATCGTCTATCGTTCAAATGTTACATTTAATATTTACTAACTATTTCTTTAAAAGACATTTCGCTAACTTGAAAGAGCGACATTATTAAAATGTTGCAATCTAAATGAGGAGATATTTCATTTATCAGATTAATCTTTACAACATTTTCTCACTGATAGTAGCAAGATTTCCAACAACCCTAAAACCATACGACTGAAGCTATTTGATGTACGTTTTACAATTTTATATCCAAAGATAATACAGAGGAGAACGAATGGTGCCACAGATTTCGATCGACTCTGGGATGAGTACAAACAGGGATTTGGTAGCGTTTCAGCAGAGCACTGGCTAGGTAATCAATATAGTGTTCAATATAAAGATAAATAAAAGCACACGTAACTTCCGTAAGGTATACGCCAGTTAGACACAACACAGCGAAATATACTAAAAAGACTCATATAGATCCACATACGGTTTTCACGTGTCTTGTTTCAGAGTATGATTTTCATTGGAATCCTTTCGTGTTTCCTTAATTTCTGACGTTTTTTACAAGCCCAGAAATTTTTTTTTTTCAACATTAAACACTGAATCAAAAGCAGTATACCCAAGTCATCTTTCAATCTAATAATTCGTATCAATTAAAGATAATATGGCAATTCTTAACTTGAGAAGAAAATGATATAACGGAGATTTGGTAAAGCGTCAATGATACATCAACCCACAATACAAAAAAAAAAACCAATTGACCGAAGAGAACAATATATCATGACGGTATTCAACAATTAACAGACGTCTATACCGTGACAATATGTAAAGCTCAAAATTACCCGAATCTTAGTTTTTTTTAAAGTAGTCAGTTGGACAATTTACCAATATCCTTATCATCTTTCAGTTAGAGACAACAGAAGATTTCCCATGTTTAAATCTCGTAAATTCTTAATGAATATACAAATAAAGATAAAAAGCAAAACTGGAAGCGCCAAAACGATCAAGACCAGGTGCCCTGCTGATCATGAGCAAATCGCTGTTAATAAATCCGTATTACATGGACATGTATGCGAGTTACGTATCAATAGAGATATGTGAACGCCATACGTTGGGACAGAGGGTTCTTTACAGCTGAAAACCAGGAACATGCCAAATTGAAAGTTGAAATCGTTTGTCAACCTCTATATACGTACTATTTGTAGGAAACAGTAAAATCCACAAAATGACGTCATCAAAGCACTACAAACTATTTATAGAGCTGGAAGATTTTGATGGCGAGGTTAGATATGCTGAGTACGGACAGTTTAGTGTTGGTAAAGAAGATTCAAACTATAAACTCACAATAGACCATTATACTGGGGATCTTGGTGTGTATACTCATTTATACTGTTACGTGTTATAACCTATTTAACCATTTGGTCTTACTCGACAGGTTTAGCGATATAGATAAATGGAGATGTGGGGCTTACGTCAATGATATAAGAACCCAACCGCGCAAATATCCAAATATATGCACAAATATCCAAATATATGCACAAATATCCAAAAGACACTTAGAAGTCTAGCCAAATTAACAAAATAATATGGAACATAATGATATGAAAAAATACGAACTTTGCCAAAACTGGCGGTAAACGCGTACGCTGGTGCTCCAGAAGGTAAAGCGGCTCCTGATTCGCCAAAGTTGTGTTACCCATAATATTATTGTTATATATATGCTATGTTAGGTATCACTGTAATTTCATTATTTTTCCTTTGAAGTACAATCCGCCCATTCAGTACAGTATTGGCATACTGTTTATGTACAAGTTCATTGTGAGAAAAAACATATGTATCCTCGTCTCATTTCGTGCTATTAAGAATGCACTGTGACGTCACAATTTCCATTGAAAAAGAATGCATAGTACGAATTCATATGACGTACGAATAAATATGATCTGACCATACGGAGAAGTAAGAACTATCTACAGTGTGACAGTGCTCCGTTAAAATAAGACTTAGTAAAAGATTGTAAATCTAGCAGAGCTGGACGTTTTGTACATTCTTTATGAAAAATGTAATGATAGTGCAACTAATAAGTTTTGGCAGACCATTCCAGATTCTCATGGTGTCGGGGAAGTCGGTTGGGACGGGTCGGTTTCTTTCAAATAGTTGCATAAAATCAATTCAAAGCGTGCTATACGTAATACATGTTTTCTCGTATATTTCTTATAAGTTATTGCATGAAAAGTTTTGTGATTTAACGTACCGAATAAGAATCCCGAGCTCGTCGCCTGTCTTTTCATTTTTTATTAACAAAGAAATTTTTTTCTGAACTTCTAGGAAATAAATTGTGTGAGGAGGCTTTGTATTAACTTATTCGTTTTCAATTTGTGCCACTTTATATCTAGACGATTCTCCTTCCAGAAGTATACAATGTTGTCTATAGATTTATTCCGTAATGGTATATTTTATATTATTATACTTCATGTCGAAAAGACATTGTCAACCTTGGCTTCGCCTCAGTTGACAATGGTTTTCTCGGGGTAACAATCTGCTCTATCACCCTCTCAGCTATGTGTTATTTATATATTGGAGCCACTCGTATGAAATTTTGTCGAAGGTATTTGAGAAATCTAATAGAAATATATATGTTTGTTGTTGATGTTCATCGAAAAGTCCTGAATTGAGTATTAGTTGGGATATACAAGACCGTTCCGTTTTCTAAAACATTATAATCAATCAATAAAGATTGGAGTGCATACCTCGTATAAATGAAAACAATCTTTATTTTTGTTTTTTAATAGTGTCGGGCTTTTCCCGACTTTTTTTAAGATTTTGTTTTAATTACAGGTAATGCCATGCATAATAACAACAACACGATGTTTTCGACGATTGACAAGGACAACGATAAACGGCTCTCTAGTACTTGTGTACACACTGGCGGATGGCAAGGGGGTTGGTGGTTCAATGGGGAGAACAGACCATGTAGTCTCTGTAACCTAAACGGAAAATACCTCCATAAAGACCAAACTAAAGACGTTTACAAAGGAATAGTCTGGAAAACATCGAGGTCAAAATCCTGGTATTCTTTTAAATCATCGAAAATGACAATTTTCCCAGCGGATGGGTTCAGTGATGATAGCAATTTTAGGAATCAGCAAGTGGATGTGAATCTTGATTATGGGAGTTTAAACAAACGTAATGACAATTAATAGTTAAATTAATGTTTTTTTTAAATTCGTGTTTGTCTTGACCTTAATAGGACATAACCATGACCCATAAACTGTGTCTATAATTATACCTTACTTTTCGTATTGTGTTTATAATAAAACAAATTCAATTGTTTACAAAATTGAATACGAAAATTGACCACTTCTTATTTTCATATGAGTCGGAGTTCCTTCAGATACTTGTCAAAAACAAGAAGATCAAAGAAGCCAGATCATTTGATTTCACATTCAGATATATTGATGATGTTCTTTCCATTAAGAATTGAAATTGTTTGGGTTCCATTGATATATCCTCCAGAACTAGAAATTAAAAAAACAAGAGACACGGCTTCCTCCGCCTCATTTTTAGACTTACACCTCGAATTTGACAAAAGAGGTCATCTCAGTACCAGAATCTATGACAAGCGAGACGACTTTAATTTAGAAATTATAAATTCCCCCCATCTTAGCAGCAATATACCAACTTCACCTGCATATGGCATAAACATTTCCCAACTTATTCAACAGCTTGCAGCTACTACTCAGATTTTATAAAGCGTCATAAGTGTCTGAGCAGAGAGTTGATAAACCAGGGTTACGTCAAAGAACGTCTCGTCCTTTTTCTAAAAAAGTTCATCGGAAGATATCAAGACCTTGTTGATAAATACCAACTTCACAAATTATACCTGATGGTCTTGAAGTAGTAGATTCTAGGTACTGTCGTTGTTTATCATCTTAATTACGCGTTATAGTGTTCTTTGTATTGGCTTTGTATAATTTTAACTTTTACTGTTAAGTCAGTTTTGGTAATACGTCGTCCGTTAACTTAAAACAAAGATCACCTTCTCTGAAACTACACAGCCAAATTTAACCATACTTGGCCAAAATCATCATTAGGGTATTTAGTTTTTAAAATCTGTCCGATGAACCCGCCTGCAAACCAAGATGGCCGACATGGCTAAAAATAGATGTGAAATGTAAGTTTCGTCTATTATTTTGGAAACTGCTATTATTAGAGATAATCTGACACGAGTAAAAATGTTCAGAATGTTGAGCTCTACCTATTTACGTCGAAAGTGTCAGACAATTTCTTATTAGAGTTATTGCCCTAAAATTACGCATTTTACAACTTTTTTCCAATTTGCTTATTATCTTTAAAACTATAATAGATAGAGAGAAACTTTAAACAGCAAAACTGATCAGCAAGACAAGATCTTCAAATAAGTCAAATATAGCGGAAATCGTCAATCGACTCCTTATAAGAGTTATTGCCCTTTAATGACAATTTCTACCATTTGTTTTGCGTCTTTGCCTAAAATCTTAAAAAACTAAAATAGATGAGGGGCCTGATGGGTTATTTTCGTTCTTCGTGATCGGCGCATTTTCGCTATCGTGATCCGTTTTTCTACAGATTTTTTTTTTATATTTTCGTGATCCGTGATCATGGAAATTTATTTTCTGTGAATCGTGATTGACAAAAAAATCAACTCGTGAATCGTGATGAGACCCCCCCCCCCCCCCCCCATCAGGCCCCTCATAGATAGATAAAAAAACTTTAAACAGCATAAGTAATCAACAAGACAAGATCTACAGATAAGTCTATAAGACGAATTCTTCAGTCGACATGTTATTGAAGTTATTGCTCATTAATGACGATTTTAACCAATTTTTGGCGTGTTTGCCTATATACCTTTAATCTATAAAGGATAAATAGTAACTTTAAATAACAAATATGATCAGTAAGACTAGATCTACAATCAGGTCAAATTCTGCCAAAAAAAGTTTGTAGATAGGAATGATTGCCCTTACCTTAAATGACGATTTGTTATTACCCTCCTTTGTGTTATGTTTGGGCCAAAATAAGATAGAGAGGAACTGTAAATAGTAGTCAGTAATGTTGAAGATGCACATAGACCTAGGTGAGTGACAAAGCTCTTTAGAGTCTCTAGTTACCTATTGTGTCTGTTAGTTTTGCTCGCACATTGTTGTCAATATAATGGAATTCTCCTTGTGAAGGTAATTCAAGAAAACCGCTTTCGACGCACCAAATTTCATTGGCAAACCAAAACGCAAAGAAGCGCAGATTTTATTGGTATTATTCATTATCAAAATCACATTGAGGCCTTCTAAAAATAAAAAATCTAACACATTACTTCAAGTTCACGACGGCATTTATGTTATCATCGGTTTGATTGAGTTGCTGTGGAATTACAAGGGTGTTAAAATTTTCATATGTGATATATATCCTTTTCCCAGCTTTTTAATTAGGAAAGGTATTTGCGACTGTGTAGAATTTAATACTAGTACATATCTTTATATTTTTGTTATTTGGTCACCGAGGGTATCATCAGCTAAGTATTCAGTACTTTGGTACTGACATGATTTATAACAAACTTTTCTAAAATTGTCCGTTTATAAATGTTTGAATTAAAAAAATCGTAAGGGGTTCCACGGAACCCAATGTCTCGCCTGCTATTGCTGCTGTCAGTGTAAAAGTGTGATATTGACTTTAAAAAGTTAGTCCATTTATCAGTAAATACAGAAGTTAAAAAAAAAAATAAAAAAAAATTCTTTAGATGCTATTTCTTGGTATTGAAGATTAGCTTATGTCCAAGTTTCATAACAATGGATGAAGGGTTACAAATTCATCATGTCAAAAAAAATTAATCCCAGACTGTCTCTAAATGTTAACTGTAAAAAACTAAGTCTATCTATCAGAAAAAAAAACTGAAAATGAAAAAAATATATTTTCAAAAGTTTGCTTCAGACATTATCTCTTAATCATAAAAAAGCTTCTGCCAAAGTTTCATAAAATTCTATGAAGCTTTGACAAAGTAATTGACCTGCAACAAACTATAACCCCAGACTGTATCAACTTAGTAACTATAAAAAAAAGTCCATTTATCAGTTAAATACGGGAAAATGATAATAAATATTTTGTTCTGGATACTGTATTTTGGTCATTTTCAAGCTTCTGTCACAATTTCATAAAATTCCTTGAAGGTTAGACAAAGTTATTGATGATTGAAAAACTTTAACCTCAGGCTGAATCTAAATGTTTATTTGTAAAAAAAAACTAAGTCCATTAATCAGTAACATACGGAAAAATAAAAATAGATATTTTCAAAATTTTGCTCTGGATACTGTATTTTGGTCATAAACAAGCTTCTGTCCAAATTTCCTAAAATTCCATGAAGGTTTGACAAAGTTATTAATGTCTAAAAAAAACTTTAGCCACAGACTGAACCTTAATGTTGACGCCGCCGACGACGGAATCGAGGATCGCTATGTCTCGATTTCGCGACATAAATGTCGCAGGCTCGACAAAAAACCTAAGGTTTCAACTCCCTCAGGTAAAATTGTCCTTAGATGAATTTGGCTATTTTATAGGTTCTTTTTGGTCTTATAGCTCTTCAACTGTTCTTAATATCCTTTGCTTTCAAATATTTGGCTTTGTGCGTTCCTGATGAAGGTAAATCCAGAAAAGCACTTCGGACGCATGAAATTTATGACTTGTTATTTTCAGTTTTTGGAGAAAGTTATGTTGACGGCAAATCTTTGATTTTTTCTGTTTAATTTATTCAAAACTTTATGCGCATTTTTTTTTTTTCTTTTTCTAATTCCTGATTTTGATCTTACTTTTAAGATCAAATTACCATGAGGGCCTAACTTTCCCATTTGACCTTAATCGCAAGTTTATCCAAAAATATCCCATTTTACACTCAGAATGATTTATCAAGACGTTAGATATATACAAAAATAAGAAGATGTAGAACTTAGTAACTATAAAAAAAAAGTCCATTTATCAGTTAAATACGGGAAAATGAAAATAAATATTTTGTTCTGGATACTGTATTTTGGTCATTTTCAAGCTTCTGTCACAATTTCATAAAATTCCTTGAAGGTTAGACAAAGTTATTGATGATTGAAAAACTTTAACCTCAGGCTGAATCTAAATGTTTATTTGTAAAAAAAAAAATAAGTCCATTAATCAGTAACATACGGAAAAATAAAAATAAATATTTTCAAAATTTTGCTCTGGATACTGTATTTTGGTCATAAACAAGCTTCTGTCCAAATTTCCTAAAATTCCATGAAGGTTTGACAAAGTTATTAATGTCTAAAAAAAAAATTTAGCCACAGACTGAACCTTAATGTTGACGCCGCCGACGCTGACGCCGCCGCCGACGACGGAATCGAGGATCGCTATGTCTCGCTTTCGCGACATAAATGTCGCAGGCTCGACAAAAAACCTAAGGTTTCAACTCCCTCAGGTAAAATTGTCCTTAGATGAATTTGGCTATTTTATAGGTCCTTTTTGGTCTTATAGCTCTTCAACTGATCTTAATATCCTTTGCTTTCAAATATTTGGCTTTGTGCGTTCCTGATGAAGGTAAATCCAGAAAAGCACTTCGGACGCATGAAATTTATGACTTGTTATTTTCAGTTTTTGGAGAAAGTTATGTTGACGGCAAATCTTTGATTTTTTCTGTTTAATTTATTCAAAACTTTATGCGCATTTTTTTTTCTTTTTCTAATTCCTGATTTTGGTCTTACTTTTAAGATCAAATTACCATGAGGGTCTAACTTTCCATTTGAGACATGTCTATTGTTAAGACTGCATGTTGTCCTTTAGATGTCTTTTTTGTTAATGTGTGTCTTTGGGTTGCTATCTAGACTGCATGTTGTCCTATATATGTCTTTTGGTAATGTGTGTCTTTGGGTTGCTATCTCTACTGCATGCTGTCCTATATATGTCTTTTGTTCATGTGTGTCTTTGGGTTGCTATCTAGACTGCATGCTGTCCTATATATGTCTTTTGGAAATGTGTGTCTTTGGGTTGCTATCTAGACTGCATGCTGTCCTATATATGTCTTTTGGTAATGTGTGTCTTTGGGTTGCTATCTAGACTGCATGCTGTCCTATATATGTCTTTTGTTAATGTGTGTCTTTGGGTTGCTCTCTAGACTGCATGTTGTCCTATATATGTCTTTTGGTAATGTGTGTCTTTGGGTTGCTATCTAGACTGCATGCTGTCCTATATATGTCTTTTGTTAATGTGTGTCGTTGCTATCTAGACTGCATATTGTCCTATATATGTCTTTTGGTAATGTGTGTCTTTGGGTTGCTATCTCGACTGCATGCTGTCCTAT